TGCTAGGAAATTGGCACCCTTAAAAAGGATATATTAGGAAGGCAGAGGGCTTTCTAGGTTAGTTTCCATGAGGAGAATGATTACTGGTTTTCCCCTGTGGGTGCAACAGTACGGACTGGCATGTATTGTATAGCTTCTCCTTGGGGGGGTAGGGGGAAACTTTTAGCGGTGGAAGAACTATATGTATTTTATGGGACTTCTTGAATCTGCTTGCCTACGGGATACCAGACTCTAGGACACCCCTCCTGTGAGTAGCAGACCTCTCCTCTCTTTTCATTTCACATCTTTTTGGACTATGCTCTTTGTAACTGTTTGCCACCACCTTCAAGGCATGGCTAAAGTATGTAAATATCTCTGTTTCTATAGATTCAGTAAAGTGATAAAAAGCATTCCTGGTGTGGACTCCTCCTTTATATTAGAACATCTCCTGGGAATGTAACCTGTGTCCATGGGGAGAGGTATGCAAAGAACTGTCAACAGGTACAGGGGTTGTCCTGCAGATGTTCCCACACACAAGGAAGAGTAAGATGGGGAGACCATGGTATGCTGTTAAGACAAGGTTTCTACTCCTGAATCTGTGGCACAACACTTCCATGTAATGTAAAATAAAAATAATTGACACAACTCATTGAAATTTGGGTGTCTTTTTTGCCAAAGGAAATTAAATAGGAACAGGGAGTACGTCCAATACACAACAAAGTATTAGTACCTCAAACTTCTAATAGCTAACAGTCCCTGTATGGATGATGAGACTTCCGTAGCGCCTATGTTGACAGGCTTTGGGCTTGTGTCGATGATGTTGAGACACTTCTGAGATCATTCAAAAATCATTGACAGATGCATTAGATCTGCAGCTAATCTCTTTTGACCTGCATTTAACCTGCTTTAAGCAGGTTTTGCTTTCTCATAGACTGTAATGGGAACGTAAAATCTGCTTGAGATGAAGAAAAGCTCATGTACACAGGCATGTGCTATGATCCTCATTCACAGCAAACTGAAGCAGCTTTCACAAAGCCCAGGTTCCCATGTATTCCCTGCATAGTGTTGCTCCAGTGTTCCCAGCTATTAGCCCATCATCTACTGTATAATGAGATTAACCTCTAGCCCTACTTCTGACTTTGTCCACTGGATGACTCAACAAAGGCTGGACAATAAAACAAAAAAGGAAATGGGCCTGAAATCAAAAAGTGAAGATTTGCTATCTTGTATAGACATCTAGACATGATAATTGTCCCTAGCAGCATCCTAAAAAAAATTTACCTCTTTGTCTTTCTCCTATAATATTACAGTGTACTTTTTGTGCCTGGGCACTCTTTTTCTGTTGTTACATAGCTATATAAATGCAGTGTGAGGTCATCTAAGGCTCTGTGTCTGTGACTGGCAGTCTTGAGAAACATGGGATCAGACTTTGTAATATCACTACTGTATTGCTGACTGTTTTCCTTGCTGGACAGAAAGTTGTACGTGAAGATATGCAAAGCAAGGATCTCCCTGCTTCTCCACTCTGTGGATCTGAACTTTCTACACCTCCCTTTCTGCATTCTTCATTACCAGGCATTGGCGGTAGCTATGACAAGAGGAAGTAAAGCTCTGCTCTTCTAACAAGATGGCTGCCTACACACAAAGACAAAGCGCAGAACATGATAAGTCAGTAATGGGGAAAAAGATCAGCTACAGGGAGACCACAATACTGGAGATTTGTAATTTGCCCTCTGTTTTTTTTTTTAGGCACGGCTTCTACAGTACAGGCCCACTTTAAGCAATCTAAAAATGGTGCAACTAACTAGTGTTTGGAATGATTACTAGCCTGTGCAATCTTTAATAAAGGGTGAGATCTCGCAGTCATTTCCCCTCCTGGGTGTAATTCCCTCTGGTCCAAAAGTGGCCAATTACATACTTACTGGCTAGACCACGGGTTAACTTAATTTCGCTAGCTGAGACATCAGTACTCCAAATAAGAACATCATACATAAGGTAAATCATTTTCTTAATTGAAATCCTCCTTAGAATTTTTGCAGTCACTGCAGAATATGTTGATATAAAAATATGATGGAGATAATTTATGTCTTCAATGCAATTCATTCCACATGCTCATTTTGTCTGCAGCTCATTTAAGGCGGTGAATGATTAGTGATTGGGACGAAGTGATTTGACTTATTTCACATTATGAATCATTCTAGAGATGTCAATAAATTATTTGGGCAACAAACAGTATTGTGATTTCAGGCCTACTCCATCATCACTTTCTTTATCTTGTTTATGATTTGCATTCTTTCCAAATATTCAAATGCATCGTTCAACTGTACAGGGCTGGTGCAGAGAGAAGGAATAACCGTGCAGCCACAATCGACAAGGAATCTTCCCAAGCTCCCTGTAACAAAAAGAATATACTTCCTTAACTGTTGCTATATTAGTGCTTTAAAGATAAACACTGGTACAGAAATAGCAGGTAGGTGTTAAAGAATGCTAAGTATGGGTTACAAAAAGGTTATTTATGCTTTTGCATCATGAACGGAAATGCAATGGACGGGTGATAGAAAGGTAGGTATCTCCTTCATATTATGTTGCAAATTTTAAAAATGGAAAAGAATGTAAAGAATTTGTAAACTACCTCCTAATACCCATGTCTTAAAATAATTATGTTAAAGAATAAATGAATTGAAAAAGTTTGTGGCCTTAGAGGGATCTACCTTTTGACTTAAAATCTCCTAAAAAAGAACATAGCAATGCACTTCTTGTGCCTACGCAGAGCTACAGATATATTTATACACTATATTGCCAACAAGTATTGGGACACCCGTCCAAATCATTGGATTCAGGTGTTCCAATCACTTCCATGGCCACAGCGAATTAAATTTTGGTCTCATCTGATCAGACTATATTCTCCCAGTATTTCACATGCTTGTCTAAATTGCAGCAAACTTTAAACCAGCTTCAACATGCTTTTTTTCAGCAATGGAGTCTTGCGTGGTGAGCATGCATACAGGCCGTGGTGATTGAGTGCATTACCTATTGTTTTCTTTTGAAACAATTGTACCTGCTAGTTCCAGGTCTTTTTGAAGCTCTCCACAAGTTGCCCTACATGTGAGACACTATCACTAAATCTCTCTCTGTAAGCCAAATGAAAGTTGGTCTTAATTAGCTCCACTTTTGTAAGATACCAGAAAAAAGAAAAAAAAAACAAAAGTGGTCAACAGTAAACTCATGAACAGGTCTTGCTGTATAATGTACATTCTCTCGTTAGATGGACCCATTTTCACAAGACAGTCTTGAACATATTAAGACAATTTAAGGGTGTAATTAGCAGGAGTGGTCGATTTCCATTGAAAGTGATCAGTAAAACACAACAGACAGATTGCGCCTCTAGGGTGCACATGGGGCATGCTAGTAGGAGTACATCATATGACAACCTCCAGGGATAATAGCACTCCCACCCAGCCATCATTTTACAAAAGGCCAGATGGGAAGTGGTTAAGGCAGTATTAAACCCAAATCCAGTATTAAACCTAAAACCAAACATTTAATATACTGCATCTTACCAATGCTTAGATGTGGTGTTTGAATTAGTTTTCTTTTTTAGGCTTTTTTCCCCTCTGTTTCCACCAGTTGACCTGGTCAGTAAAACACACCTCATGTATTAGACTCTAGATGAAGGAACACAAGAGGTACTTTTGGACAGCAGCATTGTTAGTCATGTCAGCATTGATAATAATTTAAATACATGAACAAGCTAAAACCAAACTCCAGCTAATACTTTATAAGCAGCTACAGCGCAGTTATTTTCTTTCTGGGATATAGGTTTTACATGAATATTTAAAAGATGATCATTGTAAGCACCCCTGTCAGTGGTAAATGGTTTGTCCCATCCCTGTAACTGCTACATCTGGAAGAGTGCTTGTTCTTTTGAAAGAGAACAGAGTTACTGGCTACATAACCAGATGAAAAAAAGAAGCAAGCCTAAAAAAGAAAACTAATGCAGGCATTGCATCTAAGAATTGTAAGCTGCACTATAATAAAGGTTTGCTTTTTGGTTTAATACTGCTCCAAAGCTATTCTCTCAAAATAACTCTGTAATCAGTGCTAGGACAGGTTCCCCCATGCTGCTAGCAGTTGTGTTTTAGAGGGAGATACAGTTCTATCCTTCAAGGTGAGGGTTTTCTCATTTTCTGTGGAAATACTCTAGAAATACAGAAATGATTCAGCTTTACTGCAACTTCCAAGTTACCTAAACCTGTACATCAATTAAGCCTGAAAACCTGGCAATGTGGTATGAACGCTGAGATTTGAATGGAAACTGTTGCATATTAATGCCACTGAAAACAATAGCTTAGGGTTCTTACTGTTGTTTAAAAGGAGAATGTAGGGCTTGACAATCCCTTTGTTTTTATCACACAGAAGGGTTCTGATCAGTCAAGAGATCCTCAGTTGTACACAGCATTTCCTTTAGGAATCATTTTGAACTTTTAAACATTTTGAACCTTTTGAACTTTGGACATGCCTTCCCATACCTAAGGAGCATAGAGACTTTGATACCATTGCCTTCATGTTACAGTTCCCACATTATTCTGTTGAAAAACAACAGACTTACTGGCTGGATCACCAGGTGTAATAAAAAAAGAAAGCCTAAAAGATAAAACTAATACAGCCATAACATCTAAGAATTGGTATGCTGCAATATAATAAATGTTTTCTTTTGAGTTTAATACCTCTTTAATTATTAGTGTCTGAACAAGGACCATCATAGAAGCATCACTGGGTATTCTTTTGATGAAAGATACAAATTTTAAAATAATTGAGAATTACTTTTGAAATCAAATGACCAAGTTAAAGATTAGATGACAATTTAGTGAGATGAGTGGGTTTAGAGCAAGTCTAACCATACAGTCCAATAAATAAGAGAAATGGTATAGTAGTTCTTCAGTCTGATAAAAAAAATTAAGTCAGCAGCTACAAATACTGTAGCTGCTCATTTTTAATAAAAAGACACTTAAAGTGTTAGTAAACCCACAACAGTAAAATCAGGTTATATATGCAGTAACGCATGCTTGTTATACTCACTGTTGAACTTAAGGGTTAATCCTCTACATTGTGTAAAAAGGCTGTTTGATCCTGTCTTCTCTGATCCTCCCCTTCTTTCATGTTCCCCATTTCATCTTCTGATGGAACACAGCCTCAGGAACACTCTGCACATGCTCAGTTTGGTGTGTACTGCTTGAGTTTTTTGGGAGAGTGCATGTGATCAGCACAGGGTCAATCAGCACTGTCCATACAGAGGGTGAGGGGTTATGAAATCTCATAGGGCACCTCTCATAGAGAGGTGAATGAAAACGCCTCCTACAAACTTTAACTAGTGCTCTGCTGGACACTGACAGACGTCACAACACTGCTATATATTGCTGATGAGAAAAGGTATTTAGCAGTTTATATTCATTAAAATAAATATGTATTTCCATGTTCTGTGTACTGTGGGAGACCAGGTATAATGAATGCAGGGTCCTGGGTTTAGTAACACTAAGTGTTTGTGTAAATTGTGTAAAAAAAAAAAAAAAAAAATACTGATCACTTCCCCAAAGTAGTACAATGTTACTATGGTAACATTGTACTACTTTGGACATAGTGAAATATGAGAAACAAATCTTAAAAAAAAGAAAAAAAATGTAACAAAAAATTGAAAATAATAATAATTTTTTTTTTTTCACACTGTCACCAGTCAGTGTCCCTGATCACCGCCATGCCAGTTATATGATGATGCTGTACTGCACTGGTGACAATATGTAAAAAAAAAATAGTGAAAATTATTTTTTTTATTTTTTCATTTTCCGAAAAATTATGACAAAAAAAATACAACTTCAAAAAACTCGCCATGCCTCTTATGAAGTATGTCGGACTGTCTACTCTGCAAAAAGGGGTCATTTGGGGGATATCTGTACTGTTCTGACATTCTTGGACCTCAAGAAATTAGGCTGTCAGTACTTCAGGATTGATCAATATTCTGATCTATACCATAGTTTGTGAACTCTATAACTTTCCTACAAACTAAAAAATACATCTTAATTTGGGTTATTTTCACCAAAGACATGTAGCAGAATACATCTCGGCCTAAATTTATGAAGAACAATTATTTATTTGCAAACTTTTATAACAGAAACAAAGAAAAACATGTTTTTTTCAAAATTTTCGGTCTTTTTATGTTAATTTAGCAAAAAATAAGAACCCCAGCGATGATTAAATACCACCAAAAGAAAGCTCTAGCTGTGTGAAGAAAATGATAAAATTTTTGTTTGGGTACAGTGTTGTATGACCGCGCAATTGTCATTCAAAGTGTGAGAGCGCTGAAACGTGAAAACTGGCCTGGGCAGGAAGGTGTAAAATTGCCCGGTATTGAATTGGTTAGTAATGCTGTCCTGTGGTGCGCCTTCCTTGTAGGCCCAGCACAGGTAATACTGTCTTGTGGACGGAGGGGTGACGTGCGCAGACGCAACATCACTCCTCATTGGCTGGTGGGCGGAGCTCCAGAAGGGTTACACGGGCGGTGAGCATGACAGGGCTCTTATCTTTGCTTGAGCAGAGCAGCGTTTATGTCCCCTGTCCCTCGGGAAACCCCTGAAACAATGTTCACATGTACAGCTCACAGAACATTGGTATGATCAGTATGATCAGCAAGCTGTTGATAATAACAATTACTTTTAGAAATAGCATTATTGTATTACTAACCCCACAACAGTAAAATCAGTCTGTATATGCAGTAAAAACATGCTTGTTATACTCACTGTGGAACATAACAGGTTAATCCTCTGTATTGTGTAAAAAGGCTGTTTGATCCTTACTTCTTTAAGACAGACTTAACCCGCAGTCACATGCACATGCTCAGTTTAGTATGTATTGCTAGAGAGTTGTTTTTCTTGGGAGAGTGCATGTGATCAGCACAGGGCCAATCAGCACTGTCCAGACAGAGGGTCGGGGGTTTTGCATCCTCCTAGAGCAGAAAGAAAACTCCTCCCACAAGCTTTAACCAGTGCTCTGCTGAAGTCACAAAACTGTTCTAATTGCTGATGAGAAAAGGTTTATATTTACTAAAATAATTGCATTTCCATGTTGTGTGTACTGTGGGAGACCAGATATAGTGAATGCAGGGTCCTGCATAGCTGCTCTATTCTGGGTCCAACTTTGTTCTCTCAGTAGAGCACACTACATGAGTGGGAAGCAGGGCACATTATGTATGAAGCAGGGCACATTATGTGGGAATAGGGCACATTACATGGAGGCAGGGCACGATACATGAGGGCAAGGCACATTATATGGGAGCAGGGCACATTATGTGGAGGCAGGGCACATTACATGGGACAGAGGACAGGGTATATTACATGGAACAGAGCGCAGGGCACATTAAAAGGGACAGAGCCTGGGGTACATTACATGGGACAGGGCACATTATATGGGACAGAGAGCAGGGCACATTACATAAAACTGAGCAGTTTACATGGGACAGAGCACATTATATGGGACAGAGGACAGGGCACATTACATGGGACAGAGGACAGGGCACATTACATGGGACAGAGCACATTACATGGGGGGACAGAGGACAGGGGGACATTACATGGGGGACAGAGGACAGGGCACATTACATGGGACAGAGAGCAGGGCACATTATATGAGACAGAGCAGTTTACATGGGACAGGGCACATTATATGGGACAGAGGTACATTACATGGGACAGAGGACAGGGCACATTACATGGGACAGAGGACAGGGAACATTATATGGGACAGAATAGTTTACATGGGACAGGACACATTACATGGGACAGAGAGCAGGGCACATTACATGGAACAGAGCAGTTTACATGGTGACAGAGCAGTCAGGGGCAGGGTACATTATATGGGGACAGAGCAGTTTACATGGGACAGGGCACATTACATGGGACAGAGAGCAGGGCACATTACATGGGACAGAGCAGGGCAAATTTACATGGGACAGAGCAGTTTACATGGGTCAGGGGCAGGGCACATTATATGGGACAGAGCAGTTTACATGGGACAGGGCACATTACATGGGACAGAGAGCAGGGCACATTACATGGGACAGAGAGCAGGGCAAATTAAATGGGACAGAATAGTTTACATGGGACAGGGCACATTACATGGGACAGAGAGCAGGGCGCATTACATGGGACAGAGAGCAGGGCACATTACATGGGACAGAGCAGTTTACATGGGACAGGGCACATTACATGGGACAGAGAGCAGGGCACATTACATGAGACAGAACAGTTTACATGGGACAGGGCACATTACATGGGACAGAGAACAGGGCACATTACATGGGACAGAGAGCATGGCACATTACATGGGACAGAGCAGTTTACATGGGTCAGGGGCAGGGAACATTATATGGGACAGAGCAGTTTACATGGGACAGGGCACATTATATGGGACAGAGCAGTTTACATGGGACAGGGCACATTACATGGGACAGAGAGCAGGACACATTACATGAGACAGAACAGTTTACATGGGACAGGGCACATTACATGGGACAGAGAGCAGGGCACATTACATGGGACAGATCAGTTTACATGGGTCAGGGGCAGGGCACATTATATGGGACAGAGCAGTTTACATGGGACAGGGCACATTACATGGGACAGAGAGCAGGGCACGTTACATGGGACAGAGAGCAGGGCACATTACATGAGACGGAGAGCAGGGCACATTACATGGGATAGACTGTTGGGCACTGCTTGGGGGACACAGCTGGGCACACTACTGTACTGATACTTCTACCCGGTTTCAGAGGTGGCTTTCAACAGTCCTCCAGTGGCGCGGTGTTCCCGTCAGCCCCTCCTCCCCTTCTCCTATCTTGTCAATCCCAGATGATGTGGGACCTATGTAGTATCCCAAGAGGCTGTTGGTAGGGAGAAAGAGGGGTGAACGTCCACTTGGATCTCCTAGGCGTCAGTAGGAGCTACACTATAGTCCATGTCATGTCCATCATGTGATCAGATATTCTTTCCAAGTGAAGCTTCATCTCATTTACTAAGATGTGGAACAACTGCATTTACAAATCGCACAGTCTATATGCCTTCAGTAAACCCATCCCTTATTTTCATAGATGGCTTCGAAACGTTTCATCTTTTCACTGTTCATTTCATTTTCAGCTCTAACAAATAACACTCCCTCTCTAACATTTGATGTACTCTTTCTTCAGTGATAAGCATGATGTACATATTTCTCGATTGTAAGCCATCACATTATACATCATGTTTCGGGAGGATAATGAATAAGAGAAGTGATATTTTGATTCATATTCCATTCTCTTCTTTGGCCACAAGATGGTGTATGTTGTAATGCTACCAAAGACAATTTAGTAATGTAGCGCGCCATGATTTCAGTGTGTATAGTACAATATAATAAAGTGTATGTTTATGAAATTCACCATGAGGGCCCACTTACATTTCAGCACTTAGAAGTACCTACATTTCAGTATGTGTTTTCATTCATGATTTTGTGAATTTATAAATGCAAACAATTTTGACTATTTTGTGTAAATATTACTTATCATTGGGGAAAATGTACTTCCTAGAAACTGCAGTAAGCAGAATTTTTAAAAAAGAAGTGTGAGTTTTCAAAATAACAAACAGTCTAATGCTGCATCTGCCCCCGCAACCTCTAAGATTGAAAACCGAGTGATCAAAGACCGCTGATCGCTCAGTTCTCTGTCTTCGGTAAGCAGAGAGGAGTGACTGTCAGGGATTGCATAGTGAGCTAGCTCTGCCCTATGCTGCTTTAATATCACCTGCTGTGGGAATCCCCACAGGCCAAAAAAGCAGAGACGTTACAGCACATTAACTCCAGAGTCACTGAACATTAACTCATTAATACACAGTACAAATGGCATTTTAGGCACCTGCCTACAAGCAGAGCTGTCCTTTTCACAGGACAGCTTAGGACATGTGGGCAGCTGGCAGTGATAGGTGCTGCTAGGTGAGGAGTGCTGCCACCGCTCCATTGGGCTAGCGGAACGGGAAGTGATGCAGTGTGTAGGTTGGCTAAGTCACTTGCTGGATATGGCACTAGTAGTAAACAAATAGGTCACTGGTGCTCAGGATGTCTAGCATAGAACCAATGGGTCCTCTTTCATTGCCTCCAGATGCCTTTTAGGGACCTTTTGGGACTTTTGTCCAATTAGATACCGAGTTTTTCTATGATTTTGGTGGTGATCTTTAAGGTTATATAATGTAGTGCCAAGAGACAGGAGGAACACAAATGCCAGTAGATGTTGATGGCATAACCTTGGCCTGGAGATGTAGACTTAGAAGATCCAGCAAAAAAAATTGGTCAGGAATACCTGTATGTTTAGAAGAACCAGCTGAGATTAAAGTGGAACTTCACTCTCAATCAACATTAGCTATTTGTAATCCTTACACTGCTAGCATTAGTAAATAGATAGGAAGGTATATTATACTTTTATGTTTTAAACTTTTTTAATTACATTTTTTCAGTTACATAGTTAATCTGTCACATAGTTATTCTGGCTGAAAAAAGACAAAAGTCCATTCAGTTCAAACATTTAGAAAAAAAAGGTTATAATCCTATACCCACAGTTGATCCAGAGGAAAGCAAAAAAACCCAGCAAAGCACGCTCCTGCAGGGGAAAAAATTCCTTCCTGATCCCCCGAGAGGCAAAAAAAATATTCCCTGGATCAACTTTACCTATAAATGTTAGTATCCAGTTATATTCTGTGTATCTAAGAAATAATCCAGGCCTTTTGTAAAGCAATCCACTGAGCTGGCCAGAACCAACTCTTGAGGGAGTCTATTCCACATTTTCACAGCTCTCACTGTGCAGAAACCTTTCCATGTTTGGAGATCACATTTATTTTCCTCCAGACGTAAAGAGTGCCCCCTTGTTCTCTGTGATGACCTCAGGGTGAATAGCTCTACACCAAGTTCACTATATGGACCACTGATGTATTTATACATGTTGATCATATCCCCCCTTAATCTCCTCTTCTCAAGAGAGAATAAATTCAGTTCCTCTAATCTTTCCTCATAGCTAAGCTCCTCCATGCCTTGTATCAGTTTGGTTGCCCTTCTCTGTACTTTCTTCAGTTCCCCAATGTTCTTTTTGTGAATTGGTGCCAAAAATTGAACTGCATATTCCAGATGAGGTCTTACTAATGATATGTACCGGGGGAAATGATATCTCTCTCTCTGGAGTCTATACCTCTTTTAATACAAGAGAGGATTTTGCTTGCTTTAGAAACTGCAGTTTGGCATTGCATGCCATTATTAAGCTTGTGATCTACCAGATCCATCTCCACCATTGATTCCCCCAGTTGTACCCCCCCTAGTATGTATGATGCATGCATATTCTTAGCCCCCAAGTGCAGAACCTTACATTTATCAAGATTAAACCTCATTTGCCACATAGTTGCCCAATTAAACAGTGCACTGAGGTCGGCTTGTAAGTTGGAGACATCCTGTAAGGACATTATTCCACTGCACAGCTTGGTGTCATCTGCAAAGACTGAAATGGGATTTTTAATCCCAGACTCTATATTGTAAATATATTAAAAAGTAATGGTCCCAAAACTGAACCCTGGGGTACACCACTGATGACCCCAGACCATTCAGAGTATGAATCATTAATCACTACTCTTTGAATATGATCTTTTAGCCATTTTTCCAGCCATTTACATACAGATTTTTCCAAGCCTGTAGACTTTACCTTACACATTAGCCGTGTGCGGGGAACTGTGTTAAACGCTTTCGCAAGATCCAAGTATACCACGTCCACCGCCACCCCCTCTGTCCAAGTATACCACGTCCACCGCCACCCCTCTGTCCAAGGTTTTGCTCACCTCCTCATAAAAAGAAATCAGATTTGTTTGACAACTTCTGTCTTTCATGAATCCATGCTGTCTGCTTTGAAATGACTCAATTCTCAATTCGTAGGTGTATGCATCCAGTCCAGGTGCTTTATTCACCTTTATTCTGTCTAAATATTTTTGGATCATATCAGTTGTGAGCCAATGTGGATCATCTGGAGCTGTGTCAATACCATGCTTCTTATGGACAAGAGTTCCCCCATGCTCCTTTGTATACACAGAGCTGAAGAAGGTA